CGGACGGCAGACAAGGTCCTGATGATGTCGATCCAAGAGAAGATTCTCAACGTCGAACACGGTCGCCTCTAAGTCAAGTCCGCCCGTGGCATCTGGTCCCCTACTCAACTAAGCCTCCATCCAACCATTCCACTACTCAAAGAGTACGTGAAAGAGGATCGGAACAAGGGGAAGGGCATAGGGGGGCGCAGGGTATGATATACGTCATATTGTGTAAGAAATGCGGGCAAACAGAAATGCGGCAGTAGTAGAGCAGCATTAGGCGGCCCATAGCGGAGGTGACGCAAGGTGCAGGGGACGAGCAAAACAAAGAGTGGTGCACAAGGCTCTAAAGTCACTGTGGCGGAGCGTGGGAAGGATTTTGTGAGCCAGTGCGGCGCAGTGAGTCAGGGCAGCGAGATACGGAATACGGGATGATGTGGTCTACCGCAGCGGGAAGTATAATGGGACGTAGTGGTAACGTACCATGCTATAGACAATTGATATATACAACGTAGAGATAGAGCAGACAGCTGCAAGTGCCAGAAGAATAGAAGGATATGGCGCTCAACCATATTTGGTGATGGGCACTGGTGGGTGGCGCGGAAACTTTCCACCAGGCAAGCGCTCGAGACAATTTTTGCCTTTCATATCGACCGACAATTCGACTCTCGTTACTATCTGCAGCTACCACTAGTCTCATATCTACAGAAATTCATCCAAATTTTATATTATGAAAATAACCTTTGGTCGATCATCCTAAATACTTATTCAGCGCGTACAGTGGTTATCGTTCCACATCTCGGTATGCTTTTCTCCAGCTTTCCTCATTTACTCTCATTGAGTCGAAGGAAAAATCGGTTTAGATACCCGTTCATGTAAAAAAGAAGAGTCCCTGCCGAACTCCTTGAATACATTGTCCAGCTGGTGGACAATCTCGATGACTTGCTCGCCTTGAGATTGGTCTCCAAATGGCACGCGGAAGTAACTCTCAGATACCTTCCATATTATCACATTCGCTGCGACATCGGATGAGAGAAACTTTGGGCGACTTTATCAGAGACAGCGGCCCTTGCACGACGCGTACACAGGCTGTAACTCATCGACGAAAGTTCGAAGTTATCCTGCAGCGTCTTAGTACCAATCGTTCCAGGCAGAGTCGAAGACCCTTCTCACACAAGCTCATCATGAAACAACTGTGGAGTTAACCAAAGAGCAACATGAACAATATCTTGGCGCTTTATTACCCGCTCTGAAAGAAATGCACAACCTTCGATGGTCCTACTGGGCACCACGCACTGCCGTCGCAAATATGTACTTTGTCGGCTTAGTCTATGATATCATTGCGGAATTCTGTCCGAACGTTTGCCAGGTTCAAGGCTTTATTGAGGAACCCTATCAGTCCTTGCAAACATGCCGTGTAGGACTCTGATGTGATTATCGAATTCGAACCCGGCCAGTAAGCAATTCTAGTTCCTTTTCATTATGCATGGTCTTAATTCATTTGATAGGACTTGTCCGATATAAATCTCATTCTGAATGGAAGACATCACAACGGCGAATGGTCTTCATTCTTCATCTCACTTACGTCGAATAATCCAGGACTTCAAAGCCTTTATTTAGAGGGACCTTCATATTGCGTGGGTATGATCCAAGAGATGGGACTCCTGATGCGTCGGACATCCTCTCTCACACTCAGTGGCCACAACTCATCCGTTTTTCTGTCCAGGGTTACCTTCATTTATACCCTGCAAATATGGATACCCAGCAGAAAGAGAGCCTTATAGCCGAGTTCCTGGTAAGGCATCCAAAATTACAACACCTGCGATTACGGGAGCTACGTTCGGCCATATGTGCAATCCCCAGCACACCCCGACAGAATCACAAATTTACTCGGATTACCCGGTTTGCTATAATTGGAAGTTGATGCAGACTTCCGATTACAAGGAATTCCTCTTTCCATGTTGGAGTCATTGGAATGTTTCACTCTAGGTACCGACCGCCTCTGGTATCCTCTTGACTTGGATCTCCTGAATATTCTGAATGCTCTGAGTGACTCTTTACGGATCCTTGTTACTCCATCTCAATGTCTTGTTATACTAAAGCGCTTGCCTGCTACGTGTCCACTGTTGGAAAAGCTGCATTTCATTCATTGCAATTACCCTCTGTCCACCTACAGGGATCAATTTGTATGTTTTTTTTTTTTTGTTATGTGATTGTTCAGTCTTTCACGGCACTAAACGCTTCTTCCAGGACGAAATCCCTATAACTCTCGCAGAAGCGAGGTTGAAGGCCTTCTCAAGGTTTCAAAAGTTGACGCATCTCGGCGAATTTTGTTGCTGTCAACACAAAGTGTCACCGGTCCATTGGTAAATTGCTTAAAGAAATTGCAACTTCGACCGACCTTCAATTCATGGAAATATCTGATGAAATGAACCAATCTACTCAGTGGATCGAGATTGAGCAAAATGAAGAACGGCGTTATTCTGGATGGCATTGTGTTAAATTTAGGACGGACCTACATTACAAGGCTTGGGGAAATCTTATGCCTGGTACAGGAGTCCTAATCCCAAATAAAAATCAACTATGTTTTGTACGAAGGATGTAAGCTAGCTTCCAGTTATCGCTGGAATATGGTAATATCGGTAGATCAGAAATTTCACTCAGGGAATTTGAGCACCCTGACATTGTTTTTTTTTAAAATACGAGAAGAATTCGGAGAAATATCTTAGCCATCAGATTCACTTCAGTCAGAGTATAAAATATTTTAAAACTGTTTAAAATTAGAGTCTTGTGACAGCTTTTGGCAGGTTGCAAAGTTTGCTTCATAAACCTTGTATGAAGATCAGATTCTGATAGATTTGGACTGGCTTGACACCTGTCTCCACAGCCTTTCAGTCCCATGAACGTCGCCTAGGGTAAGTGATTCCCGTTAGATGACGGGTTCGCGTGTGATAAGCAAGCGCTAACAGAGATTTCGCTCTTTGCTCTCTACCACTACTACACAGCCCTTCTATCACGACAGGTTCAGCGTAGTCAGAATTATCCCAACGTGATTGTTTGAGAGCACCGTCTGAATTGACTATTCAGCTCGTAGTCCACTGGCCAATAACCTCAAACTTGGTATGCTCTTCTATTCTCTTCGATACTTTGTCACTTATCAGATATTAGTCATCTAAAGAGAGAATAGTATCGCGTCACGTATTCATCATATTCTCTCATGCACAATGGAAAAATACCCGCCGAACTTTTTGAATACATCGTTCAGCTAGTGGACGATCTCGATGACTTGCTCGCCTTGAGCTTAGTCTCCAAAAGACACGCGGAAGTGGCCCTCAGATACTCTCATTATCGTCATATTCGCTGCGATATTGCACGAGTCAAGTTATGGGAGGAATTATCAAAGACACCAACCTTTGCACGACAGGTACATAGGTTAGAACTCGTCGCAGAAAATTCAGCCATTATAAGTAGCGTTTTGGTACCGCAGCCATTCAGGGAGGAATCTACCCCAATCTTCGCACAGTTCCAGGGTGAAACGGATCCGCATCGGTATAAGGAAAAATATCAGAAGCTTATTGATAGTTTCTTGCCTGCTCTAAAGGAAATGAGTAACCTTCGATCGTTATATTGGATTCCACGCGCCGAGGTCGCGAACATGCATTTTGTCGGTTTAGTCTATGATACAGTCGCGGAATGCTGTCCGAATCTTCGTCAGACTCACAGCTTGTTTGAAGAACCCTGTCAATCCTCGACTACATGTCGTGCTGGACTCCAATGTGATTACCAGATCCGAAAACGACTGGTAAACAATTACATCTCCCTTGCATTTTCCATTTCTAATTAATTTTTTGTCAGGACTGCCCGTTTATGAACCTATCCAGTATAAGTCTAATTCTTCAAGGAAGGCATGGAAATAACGGATGGTCCTCATTCTTCAGCGTACTTACGTTGAATAATCCAAGCCTTCAAAGCCTTCATTTGGAGTGCATCTCTTCTCGTCATTCTATGACGGGAACTCCTGATGTGTCGGTGATCTTATCGTATAGTCACTGGCTTCAACTTGTCCGACTTTCTATCAAGGGCCATATTCGTTTATACCCTGACAATATGGATATCGGCCAGAGGCAGAGACTTCTGGGTGAATTTCTTGTCAGGCATCCAAAGTTGCAATACCTGAGGTTACGTAGCGATGTTCGGTCATACATACAATCTCAGGAGCATCCTGACGGGATCGCGAACCTACCTGGCTTACCTCGGCTGCTATCCTTGGATGTCCATGGAGACTTCCGACTGGAAGGAATTCCTTTGTGCATGATGTCACGATCTTTGGAATATCTGATGCTAGGTGCTGAATACCCGCCGAATGATTCTTTCGCTCAACAGCGTATCCTGGTTATTCTGAAATACACTGCCTTTTCATCTTTGCGAACCCTTGTTGTTCCTCCTGAATCTCTCACGCTACTAGAAGGCTTGCCTGTTGTATGTCCATTGTTGGAGAGGTTCTCTTTTATTTATTCCCAGACTCATTTTGTATGTTTTCCACTGCATCATTATTGACTTATTCACGTCACTAATACTTCTCTAGTTACGAATACCTCTAAATCTCGCTAAATCGAGGTCGACAGCTTTATCAAAGCTTAAAAAATTGACTCATCTTGGGGGATTCTTTGTCTATATCAATCTACAGTGTCACCCGACCTTTGCTAAGTTGCTTCAAAAATTAGCCACTTCGACGGAGCTAAAATTTATAGAAATCTTCGATAAAATGAAGAATTGTGCTCAGTGGATGGAGATTGAGCGGGATGAAGAAGGGCATTATTCTGGATGGAGCTGTACCAATGCTAGGATTGATCTCTATTACGAGACTTGGGGAAATATCTTGCCTGGTACAGGAGTCATGTTACCACATCGAAACCAACTGTGTTTTGCAAGAATGTAATCTTCCTAAGACTATCAAAAATGTAATTAGCGCGTCAATCTATGTGCTTGGGTCTTGTAGATGTAGCAGGAAGCAAAAATGGTTCACGCCGGGCTCGAACCGACGACCTCTCTGTGAAGCGAATGCGCTACCAACTGCGCCAGCAAACCAATATGACTATGTGCTATTCATATTTGTATCGGATACGGGACTTTTGTCTTCGGGCGGAATACACAGGTTATCTAATAGGAACAGCGTGCATGATGTCTAACTCCATGTACGCCTGCGATTAGTTATTGCAACTCCGAATATTTTTACAAGGCAAGTGGAAACGATACGCGTCGCTTTGATGCGACGGAATATGTTGCCCTAGCCTATTCCTCGTCAAATTCAAAGATAATTCGTACCGGACCATGCTATATCTTACTGGTGATAAATAAAAAAATAAAAAGATGATTAGACAAGCGGCGAATTGAACGTCGGACCCTTCGCAGGCAGACTAATTGAAAGAATGCTAAGCGAATGCCATACCACTAAACCACAGAGCCTTGCACTTAGTCCAATCTACTATGAGATACGTCAATGGTCTGAATCTACATATACTCTCAGAGAAAGGCGGATATAGTAACTATGCTATATCATTATGTTTGTCGAAGCGAAGTTCTGTGACACCGCCTTTGCTCAGCTCCAGCCAATATTATAATTAGAAATAACTATATATAGGTAATACAGATGTGGATCCCTAATTGGCCACTTGATAGATCTATTGCAATGCTTCTAGTTCAAATATATATGCATTCTAGTGAGTAATTATGAGTCGAGACAGTAACACTAGAATAGTAAATATGAGCTATAACCGCAATCAAGAATACTTAATGCACTCTTACCATGTAGGCTCCTACTTGGAATGAAGGAATTTTGCATATTAGACCAAAGTTCTAATTGCATGATTTACCGCTGGGTTGACCACAGCCGTCGATCTAAAACCAGATATCAGATACATAATAAAAGGGATCATGCATGTCAACGAACATTTTCCACAGCTCTGGGAGTAAGGTCTGCAGCTATGAAAGATAATCAGAAAAATTGTCAAGTAAAATGAATAGACAATTCTCACCTGGATTCGGATAGGGCCGTGCTTCAGTAGATGCCAATAACGTTGCACAAACGGCGGTAGAAAGGAAAGCGGATGTGGTGAAACGCATGTTTAATTGAGTCGTTTAGAGGAGAATGTGTTAGATAGATAGTAGGCTTTCTGTGCTGGATGCCGTGAATCGACCAAGCGTCCTACTTTATATACTTGATCGGGCTCGGCCCAGACAGATGAAATCATCGCCCATAAATGCACATGGGAAGTTGATTCGAAATTGCTTGGAGGGGTGCACCCGTCCCGGACGGGAAATTAGGCGGAAATCAAGCAGTAGGATTGGCGGCCTAAGGAATAGAGATCCTCAGTTCAGAAGGGATGCATCGCCTATGCCACTGTGACGCTTCGGAAATGCAGGACAATCCCTGATGGCACTCTGCACTTGATGAAGCTGATGGCACCGAATCAACATCATAAAGCCTTCCTCTTTACAATGTCCAGTAACAACGAATGCAATCCTCAACCCAGCCCAACATGTCAACCCGGTCCTCCCCTCAGATTCGGTCCCATCATCTGGTGAATTCTGACTCCGTTCTCATTAATACCTTGATCAAACGCACCTCAGCTTTCACTACAGTAATAGTACATCAACGTATGCTATTCTTGTGCGTTATTTCTTATCCAGAATGCATTGCGATACAGAGGAGAGCCTGTAACAGGGTAGGGTGGTGTTAACGACTGAGATATTGCAGCAAAACGCAATGCAAACAGTTATAGCGAAATCGGAAGATGGAGGAGGACTAACCGAGCCAGGTGGTCTTAATGAGCATCACATATCATCGAGATCCTTCGTTCTGCGTTCTAAGTATTAGTGTATATACTTGTTCAATTATTTCTCATTCACATAAAATGACACATATGTAGCTTTGTGCCTTCGAGATACATACCCTTATCTACACACAGCTCTTCAACTTGCCAGTACGCTCCACAATGCTTCGTGCCGTGCACATGTCCTGTCGGGCGTTGTTGTACGATTTTGGAATGCATTCGGCCATACGTTTTCGCCTGACCGCAGCTTAGACTTCATGGGTATTACCAGTCGTCTCCAGATGCATAGGACTTGATTGTTGATGTGGATAGATCTGGATGCTGCAACAACTGCAAAAATACAAGTTAGCGGAACTACTCGGGTTATGTCAGCCGCCGAAGTGCCGAAGTCGTTTATGATTGGCCAGGGTTTCAACTCGAAATCATTGGTTCGCGCTGTTTACATGTTTCGTCCCGCGACCCACACGTCCACCACAGAGATTCTGAATACATATCCGGATTCTTATCCGTCTTTTGTAAAACCACTCTGCAAAAATTTTACGAGATTGGCTTAGCGGATAGCTGAAGACTTGTGCATCGACAAACATGGGAATGACATGCTATAACGTCACACAGCACTGAGTAGGCCGCCCCGCACTGGGCGGTAGGCTTATTATCGGATTCGTACGTCTTTATTGTCACTCAGTAATCTGATTGTTCCTCCATTCTTGTGATTACTGTTCATATTCTGGCATTCCGGTTGTTCGTTCGATCCCCAGTTTGCTCCTCGAGCCTTGTACAAACAAAACCATCCATATATGAGACTCTGCGCTCAAGGTAAGCTATTGAATTAATAGTTCTTTGTTTAGGCATATCATACAGCTAGCCAGATCTGCTTCTGCGTCTGACAACGTCCACCGATCGCATATCAATCGGTTGAGTCTCTTTATCCCTCCTACGTGACAATTGATGATTGTTGCATTTCGCCAAAGGACACAGGACTCAAGAGGCCAAAGACTTGTGTGACGCAACTGCCATTCATGTTCTTTTTTGCTTGAGAGAGGATTTGTTTGGATATGCTTTTGATATCAGAGCCTATTTAATGAAGTATATAATTCCGGATGTTCCGATAAGCAATAACAGAAGGGCCCGGGCGCAATCCATGTCTTGTGAGTCGATGATTCGAGAAATACGCTTTCTTATGAAAGTTCAAAGCCTTGCTGTGAGCGATGTCTTCTCCCTGCATCTTTTATATTTAAATGATATCTTCAAAGATGCACCGGAACATGTCATCAAGTTGGAGCTACCCGGTGGTGCCACTGGTATGTCACATTACATCGAATTTGATCAGCCTCAATGTATAGATGATGATCATCTGCGATCGGCTTAATCGCCAGTTCGGAAGGCATTTTGCTTATTTGGAATTCCGTCTCCAAAGGGAGTCTGCCAGGCTCAGCATCTACTTAGGTCCCTGAACGAAGACTTCTAAGCGTAACCTGTGGAGCTGTGCTGTACGCGAGATATTAATCACATACCCTGATGTTTACTTGTTATTAAACATTTTCATACATGTGAATTTTCACAAGGACGACATGCGACATTACGTTGTCAACAAGCGCACAACCTATCGCGTATTGTACTTCTTTCCCACTTCTGGCTCTTCAGCGGCAGCCTGAGGCATCAAACCGGATCAGGTTAGTATCCTCACTTATCCTCCGGCCTTCTGGGATTAAATTTGTTATTTTTGGCGAGAAGACCGGTGCCAGCTCATCTAGATAATTAAGTATATCCACCGCGATGTTTCATACTTACTTGCGTTCTCCGAAGCTGTGATAGCTTCAAGCCGAGTATTGGATCTTCGATGAGCCCTTCCTAATGCTATTCGACACACTGTCAGTCCGTTTTTTTTTCATACCCATCGCAACCTACAGTTAATTAAATCGTTAATTTAGCCCAAATTTAGCTTCAGCTTTCTGACAGTTTCTGACCTTTTCTGACTGCCTGGTATCAGACCCTTTTTGACTAGGCACAAATAAACTCAAGCTTTATCCCGAGAAGTTCCGTAAGATGCTGATGGTGAGGTAATTCATCACTCATTTCTACAAGTTTCTATGAGTTTACCATTACCCTGAAAGATTCCTCGTGTTGCCGCCACCTGACTCTAACTATGGACTGTCCGAGTCAAGTTAGCTTCACTGCTCTCGACAATCCAGAATTACCAAGGGTGGTTTTTTCGCTTCACCCCTTTGCTCAGTGAGCCAACTCCTATCTCGGATTCTATATCCAAGGCTCTACCATTTTTCAGTGATTACTAACCATTATTATGCCAAGGAAACGGCACTGCAGAATCAGCGCTTTTCACGCCACATGCCAATAACATCTAGACAATGATAGGCAATGACGCAAAGGTCTCATGGTCGACAACGAGACTTCCTTGAGCTCGCCTAATAGCTCTGGTTTCCTGTTCCACCCCTCTATTCAACTGACCTTTATAGAATAATATTTGCAAGCATCTGTTCACGCCCTGCAAAAAATACTAGGCGTACTAAGGAACTCTGAAACCAAATGCACCACCAGCGTAGAAGCCCAGGTTATAACGCTCGCTTGGGGTGGTCCTCGGGCGATGGCTATACCAATGTTCCGATTCCAGACCATTGGTTACTATGTATTGAATCTACCCTTGATGCGAATTTCAGGTTTGTCTTTATT